TCCTCCTCTGCCCCTGTCCTGCCCCTCAGCACTGCTGTGTCCTCCCTGTCCCTGCCTCCGCCCCACTCCCTGTTTTTCTCCGCCCCGTCCCCCTCCCCCTTTCTCAGTCCCCCTGCCCCTCCCCCTGTCCCCTTTCCCCCTCTCTCTACTTTCCTCTGTCCTGCTTCACCTCCCACCCGACTCCTGCACTTGCCATGGGGCCTTGTGGAGAAGTCCCCACCAGAGCAGCTACACCCCGAAGGGCTGGTGGTCCCCCTGGAGAAGAGGCCGGGGGAGGACCTTGCTGCGACGTTAAACCCCGTGGCCTGGTGCCAAGGGACACCATACGGACGCGGAGGTAGAGGTACCCTGAAGGTGCTAAAACCCCACGCTTCCTTATGTGGTAGGAAGCACCGTAGCTGCAGCCACCCGAACTGGTGGAGGAGGACCTTGGCAAGAAGCTGTGGACGTGTAGCCATGACCCCACCTGAGCTGACCTTGGCGGCCCCGTGCCGCCGCTCCTGTCCTGAGCAACCACCACAACAGGTGGGGCCCGAGTCATGGCCTAGATGGCCACGGCAGATGTTTTGTGGACAATTTACTGATGTTTTATGAAAATTTTATGGATGTTTGAAGGACAATTTGTGTAGATTAAGGGACTGATACCTGCGTAGCTATCACAGGATAGGAAGGAGGCGGTGGCTGGTGATGAAGGGCATGGGGTTGGACCTGAGCACACCACTGCGGTGGGATATGGGATGGAGGTTGTCCCGGTTTTGGCTGGGCTGGAGTTTGGTTGGTTGTCGCAGCAGCCCGGTGCGGGGCGTGCTTGCAACTGGTGGCTGCAGCAGGTCTCTGCCACCCTTCTCCACATCTCTGTCTTCCTCCCTGCCTGTCCCTGCCTCCGTCTCCCTCTCTGCCTGCCCACCTACCTGTCCGGTTCCCCAAAGCTTTGTCCTCCTCGACCAACTCTGCCCTGTACTCTGCTGCCTTTTAAATTTTTTCTCAGTCTCTCTCTATCCGGCTCCTGCTCCCTGTTTTTTTAATTCTTGCCTGTGTTTCTTGTATCTCATTGCTTTTTAAATATTCTGTGTTTCCTTCTGTCCATCTCCCTGTCCTTTTTAATTCTTTCCTAGGTTTCATGCACCACGTTGAGTTGGAAAATCTTTTTTGACATCTCCCTCTATCCAGCTCCCTGTCCCTATTTTTTAATTCTTGCCTATGTTTCTTGTACCCTGTCGCTTTTAAAATTTTATTTCTACGTCTCCCTCTGTCCATCTCCCTGTCCCTATTTTTCACGTTTTTCCTGTGTTTCTTGTACCACGCCACATCTTAAATTTTAATTCTACGTCTGCATCTGGCTCCCTGGCCCTATTTTTGATTTTTTTCTTGTGTTTCTTGCGCCTCGTCACATTTTAAATTTTTGTTCTACTTCTCTATGTGGCTCCCTGTCCCCATTTCTGAGGGACTGAAATTATGGTTTTCAAGGGTCAGAGGTCATGTATCAAGGGTCAAAGGTCACAAGTAAGCATTCAAGCGGTGAATAACACATTTCAAGGGTCGAATATCAAAGGTAAAGGGTTGACGGTCAAAGGCCGTAGACCAAAGGTCACAGGTCACAGGTATGTGATCAAGCAGCGAATGATGTGCTTAAGGGTGAAAAGTCAAGGGTCAAAGGTCATGAGGAAATGATCAAGCATCAGATGTGTTTCAAGGGTAGAAAATCAAGGCTCAGAGATCAATGGTCATATGTCAAGGATCAAAGGTTACAAGCAAATGATCAAGTGTCGAATGACATTTTCCAAGGGTTGAAGGTGAAGGGCTAAAGGGCAAAGGTCATAGGTCAAGGGTCACAAGCAAGCAACCAAGTGATGAATGATGTCTTTCAAGGGCCAAAGGTCAAGAGTAAATAATCGCGCAGCAAATGACACATTTCAAGGGTTGGGAAAATCAAGGGTCAAAGGTCATCGGTCAAGGGTCAAAGCTCATGAGTAAGCACTGCGTCTCAGAGCCAACTCACTGCCGGGATCTCTCACGTGCATGAACGAACAAACGTGTAACTGTCCCTCCGCGCCCCTGGACGTGTCTGCAGGCCCTGGGCATAGGGTGGGTGGCTGGGGCTGGGTCCAGGGGACGGGGTGATGTGCTGTGAGGCTGGGGTGACGGACCAGTCAGCTCCAGCTGTGGGCTGGGGCCAGGGCAGCCCAGCTGGGACCGGTGAGGAGGTGCAGAGCCTGGATAAGGCCCTGGGGCACTCTGGAGGGTAACTAGGGCCCTGCACGGGCCCCTGCAGAGCCTGGGTAAGGCCCAGGGTGCTCTGGAGGGCAATTAGGGCACCGCATGGGTCCACGCGGAACCTGGCCAAGGCACCCTGGCACTCTGGAGCGTAATCGGAGCCCTTCACAGGCCCCCGCAGAGCCCAGTTACAGTCCTGGGGCACTCTGGGGGGTAATTAGGGCCCTGCACAGGGCCCTGCAGAGCCCAGCAAAGGCCCCTGGGGCTTTCCGGAGGGCAGCTCTGCCATGTCAGAGCACCACTGCTGTTGGCAGTGATGGGGACCCTCCTGTCAGAGCTGGTTGCTATGCATGTCCTCACCGTGGAGAGCAGAGAGAAGCGAAACAGCAAGTGGCATTGCCCAAGGGACTGTCCGCACACGCATCAGTCACGCGCTGGGAAAAGATGTTTGCTCTTTTTGGCTAGGATAGAGTTAATTTTCCTCATATTAGATTGTATGGGACTATGCTTTGGATTTGTGCTGGAAACAGTGTTGATAACACAGGGATGTTTTCGTTGCTGCTGAGCAGTGCTGACACACAGTCAAGGCCTTTTCTGCCTCTCACCCCACCCCACCAGTGAGCAGGCTGGGGGGGCACAAGGAGTTGGGAGGGGACACAGCCGGGACAGCTGACCCCAGCTGACCCAAGGGATATCCCACACCATATGGCGTCATGCTCAGCATATAAAGCTGGGGAAGAAGGAGGAAGGGGGGACATTTGGGGTGATGGCGTTTGTCTTCCCAAGTCACCGTTAGGCGTGATGGAGCCCTGCTTTCCTGGGGATGGCTGAACACCTGCCGGCCGATGGGAAGGAGTGAATGAATTCCTTATTCTTCTTTGCTTGTGCATCCGGCTTTTGCTTTACGTATTAAACTGTCTATCTCAACCCAGGAGTTTTCTCACTTTTACACTTCCGATTCTCTCCCCCGTCCAGATACTGGAGTCGGTCAGCTGGCGCACAGCACCGAGAGCGCCCATTAGCACTACAGAAAAGGCTCTCTATGCAGTTGAGGCCCTCCCAGAGGCCTGGAATGCCCATCAGTCCTCTGGAAGTTGCACTCTACATAATAGCAGTCCTCCAAAACTACAGAAAATTGTCCACAATTAACTGCAAAAATAACAAAAAAATAAAGCAACCACTGTGGAAATGTCTCCTCCACAACAAAGAGTTGACGTAACTCAAACATATGTTGTACAATAATCACTGGAGGAGGCTTGGAACTCCCAGAAGGAAAAAGAACAGCTACCAGAAGTCAGTCATACCAGACAAGAACTAACACATAAAACACCAGAATTAAAATACAAAACAAGAACAACACACCCAGAAGAAACATCAAACACACATCCTACACCCCTATCCTAACCCCAAGACAGACAAGAGGAAAGACAACACCCTGAAATCAAAAACTATGAAACATACAAGGTAAGGCAAAACCAACTCAGCCCCACCAGTCCAAAACCCTACCCCCCCAAAACTAACACTCTTTAACCTTATCCCACTTAAACTTTAGCACTCAATAACCCCAACACCACCATAACCCTATGTAGCCATCTTGGATGCAAGTTAAGAGGTTTACCACACCCACACCTGTGAAAATATCATGGCCATGAGGTTCTAAAGATTCCACAACACAGAAACACAGAGGTCTAGGTTCTAAGAATTTATTGCAAATTACGTGGCCAAAGCCCACAAGAGGCCCTGCTGCATTCCAAAGTTTCTGACCGCTTTTGCCGGGCTTTGCCAAGGCCCGCAAGGGGCTCCGCTGCCTTCCAGAGGCTCTGACGGCTTTTGCCAGGCTTCACTGAAGCCTCTGTTGGGCTCTGCTGCCTTCCAGAGTGTCTGACAGCTTTTGCCAAGCTTTGCCAATGTCCAGACGGGGCTCTGCTTCATTCCAGAGCATTTGACAGCTTTAGCTGGACTTTGCTGAAGACCACAAGTGGCCCTGCTGCCTTTCAGAGGCTCTGATGGCTTTTGCCAGGCTTTACCGAGGCCTGTGTAGGTTATTGCTTCATTGCAGAATGTCTGATGGCTTGAGGTGGATTTTGCCAAGGCCCACAAGAGGCCCTGCTTCATTCCAGAGTCTCTGATGGCTTTTGCCAAACTTTGCTGAGGCCCATCTGGAGCTCTGCTGCCTTCCAGAGTGTCTGATGCTTTTGCTGGGCTTTGCCGAGGCCTGTGTGGGGCTCTGCTGACCTTCAGAGTGCCCCAGGGCTTTTGCCGGGATTTGCCAATGTCTGGATAGGGCTCTGCTTCATTCTGGAGCATGTGACGGCTTTAGCTGGGCTTTGCCGAAGCCTGTGTGGGGCTCTGCTGCATTCCAGAGTGTCAGACAGCTTCTCCTGGGCTTTACCAAAGCCTGCAAAGGACCCTGCATCTCTCCAGAATGTCCCAGGGCTTTTGCTGGGCTTTGCCGATGTCTGGACAGGGCTCTGCTGCCTTCCAGAGCATCTGATGGCTTTAGCTGGGCTTCGCTGAGGACCGCAAGGGGCCCTGCTGCCTTCCAGAGTCACTGACGGCTTTTGTGGGGCTTTGCTGAGGCCCATGTGGGGCCCTGCTGCCTTATCAATCTCCCTATCCTTATTTCTTAGTTCTTTCCTATCATGTACCCTGTCGCTTTTTAAATTTTCTTTCAATGTCTCCATTTAGTTCACTGGTTTTTTTGTATGTCTAATTGTATCTAATTTGCTGTCCCTATTTTTAATTCTTTCTTGTCTGTCTTTTACCCTGTCACTTATTAAATTTTCTTTCTGTGTCAACTTGTATTGGGTTTATGTGGCATGGTTTCGGTAGCGGTGGGGCTGCAAGGGTGGCTTCTGTGAGAAGACGCCTGTCCTGGTTTCGGCAGGGACAGAGTTAATTTCCTTCCTAGTAGCTGGTACAGTGCTGCGTTTTGGGTTTAGGGTGAGAACAAAGTTGAAAGCACACCGATGTTTTAGT